ACAAAGGCATAATTTGTTATAAATTTCAGGTTTTTCCAAACGTTAAGTTGAAATGTCTCCTTTGTTCATATTCAACCAAGGCATGGGATCAATATTGTGTTCATATTCGGTCGTCCCTGACACCTTCAGTGTGTACGTCAACCCTGTTTTCTGTCACTCGTGATCTCGCTACATGATAGGACCGGAACATACGCTTAGGTGTAGCGACCTCTCGCTGTCAAGGCGAGCGTCGTAACCATTAGACCACAGAGTTCTCATAGTTAAACAGATTCAAATAACCGTCAGCTACTATTTATGTAGGCCTATGCTACTATTTATTTCCAGTCTTACTTCCAGATTTATATTGTTTAACGCCCTCTCGAGGTGCACCGTTGTGTAATACAATGTATTTATTTATAGGACAACACTCTTTGAGAGCTATGCTGCACGATGTACCATCATGTCCTTTATTCGAACGCTGTATTTACCTTTGATAATATCATGGAGGAATTCTTTTCCTCCATGATAATATGATCTATATGTTAACAACTACCTTGATTATTATTATGTGTTACTATTTATTAACTCTGACGGTTATTTGAATCTATTCAACCATGCAGCCTCTGGTCTAATGGTTATGATGCTCGCCTTGACAGCGAACGGTCACAGGTTCGAATCCCATCGGGCGTTTCTTATTACACGATGTATTTATATATAGGACAACGTTCGTTGAGAGCTATATACTACAGGATGTACCATCATGTCCTTTATTCGAACACTGTATTTACCTTTTATATACATATATATATGTATGTATATATAAAGCATTTAATATATATAAAACATTTATTATAAAGCATGTTCACATAAATTGCAATGCATCGATGTAAGTATTCTTATTTGTTTTTCAGTAAGAAATAAAATAACAGAATCAGATTATGGAGTTCAACGAGAGCATTGAAAGGAATTATACATTTGTAAATTTTCCAGCTCCTCCAGTCGATGTGCTTGACGTTCCATCACTTATCTACATTATCCTTGGCGCCTTGGCAGCTTCAGAAAATACTGTCGTCTTATATCTTGTGATGGCATCGAAGAAATTACGCATAAAGAGAAATGTATTCTTATTCAGCTTATCTCTGGCCGATTTCGCAGTTGGTATTCTCTCATTCTTAATCTTCTTCAACATCTTTTACGAGTCGTTTGCCTTCGGTGCAGTATTAGATGCAATGTTTCTTGTGTCAATGTTCAGCATAAGTGCCGTGGCAATCGAACGTTACATTGCGATAGTTGCCGCACCGTTTACCTACAAACAAGTGATAACTTTCAAGCGGTGCATTATCGTCTGCGTGCTTTTCTGGATTCTCACGATATCTCTTTTCATAGCTGTGTACGCGTACGTATACAATAAATTTACACGACTTGCTTTCTGTATTCTCTCATTAATCACAATTATTGCAAATTATACTTTGTACTTCAGGATTTCAATATCGCTCAGAAAAAACGACCAAAACGTCACGAAACATCTTGGACAGAATGCAGTTGGGAGATCGCAGAAACTGATTCGATCATTCGGAATTCTGCTTGTAGTTGCTACCATTTGTTGGCTTCCGCTTTGCTGTTTCTTTATAATAGCTGTATTTGATGAAAGTGTTGACGAGAATGTATTTGTATTGAACATACTTTATTGCTTGTCTGTGAGTAATTCGCTCATCAATCCATTCATATATTGGTATCGTCTACCAGGAATTAAAGAAGGAATTTATGATCTTGCGTGTTGCTGGAGGCCTGACGTTCAGGAAAAGGACCGCGCACAGAACACTACATCAATGACAGTTTCAACGTCAGCAGTTTAACATGTATGCCTGACATAGCTCTTATGTGAGAATTGAGAAGTAGGCCTATAGGGTTAAACTTTCTCTTATATAATTTATTCCTAACACATTTAAAGTAATGAAATAAGAAAGTCACAAATAAAATGGGGAAACAAAGAAATCAAATAGGCCTACGATGTCATTTGACATTCGGTTCAGGTATATACCGTGAACATTTTTAACTTCTCGGTCTTTGCTTGATACGATTATATCATTATGTTCCTATATTCCAGGACCTGATATCATAGGGAAGGACGGATTTGCAGCCAAACATGAACAGTAATCATACAACTGTATAAGCCTACCGGTATGAAATATAATATTCAGTAATTGCAACATCTTAGTTTCTGATTTACTTCAATAGTGTGGATTATTTCACGAAGCAAGATTTTTGTAATTTGAATTTGACCTATACTTTAAATATCGTCAAATAGATATTTATGTGTTCCTTTTTACATTTGATGAGAGGAACAACGACAGCTCATCATACATTATTATAAAAGGTTCGTTTGAAGTATGATTATAATATTTTATAATCAATATAGGACTATTATATGTTGATAAATTTACCGCATAATCTTTAAAATATAACGGACGACGTAGTCGATAGAGTAATAAGAAAGACGGTTGCAATTTGTAGAATATACACAAAATATTTTATTATACTCGAAAGAAAAAAAATGATAATTATGTTCAGACACCGAAACCACTATGTAATGCTTCTTCTATACATGTACGCGTTTTGTAATGGCTTGCCAAGCTGCGTGGACATGTATCGCTCAGTTGAAACGACCGCAACGTCACTAACAATCTTGGAAAGAATGTTGGGAGATCGCAGAAACTGATTAAATCATGTAGTTGCTGCCGTTTGCTGGCTTCCACTTTGCCGCCTCTTAATAATAGCGATATTTTATCCAAAAAAAAAAAAAAAATCCTAGACCTATACTTTCAGGACCCGTGAGCTGAATTTTTTTGTTACAATAAAAAAATTAGAAGTCGGGAGCTCATTTCCCACCATCTAGGAATCAAAATTTCCTCTGGGGAAGACACCCGACCCCTTTTATTTTTGGAGTTCATCGATTCATGGGAAAAAGAATATGTATGCAACGTATGTATAACCGGTACACATATAATAGGCCTACTTACTGTAATAAGAATGAGAAAAATTTAGCTGACCATTTTTAAGGGGGCAAACCTTGAATTTTGAAGATATTACGTCATTAACAACATATCAGTAGTCGAGGAAGCTCTTTTCCCGCCATCTAGGAATCAAAATTCCCGAAGGAGACCCCCAGATCACCACTCTTTTTTTTGTTTTGATTTATCAAAGAATACGTATGCAATACTCTATTTTTTATGTATGTATAATAATAATAATAATAATAATAATAATAGTAATAGTAATAGTAATAGTAATAGTAATAATAATAATAATAATAATAATAATAATAATAATAATAATAATAATAATAATAATAATAATAATAATAGGCCTAGATGGATCTATATAGCGAAAATAAACGAGGTCTTCGGGACTAGATGTTGTACTTTTCAGTACGGTAACTTTCTCCTCCCCTGAGGGTCACTTCATGTCCTCTGCAGCCAGTAACCCGGCGCACTTTCATCTGTCCACGACAGGTACACAGGGGTAACTAAAGGCCTATTTACGTAGTAAGAATGAGAAAAAATTACCTGACCGTTTTCAATTTTGAAGAACTTGAAAGTCATTAAAAGACACTTCAGAAGTCGGGAAAGCTAATTTCTCGCCATTTAGGAATCAAACTTTTTCCTGGGGAGAACCCCCGTGCCCCTTTCTCTTTGGGGTTTATCGATTCATGGAAAAAGGAATACGTATGCAACTACTCAATTTGGTTTATGTGTAACACACATAACAGGCCTATTTACTGAAATAAGAATGAGGAAGCTTACCTGACCGGGCCGGGAGAAAATCCTGACTTTTGAAGAACTTAAAATTCATTAAAAGACACCCACCTTCTGGAATCAAAATTTTCGCGGAGATGATCCCCGAGAGGACCCCCACGCGCCCTCCCTTTTTTTAACCCCACCCCACTCTTTTTTAAACCAACCCCCCTAATTTTGAACCGAGATCCTCCTGATTCATCCCTTTCATCTTACTAGTGGGTCACCCCCTCTCCACCCACTTTCAAAAGCGCCGGCCCTGAAATATAGTAAATCATAGCACATTGAAAAAAGAGATAATGATTGATGACCCCCCCCCCCCACGAAAGGCAATTAGTGGTCAGTTGATGATTGGTGCCCCACTTCTTCATTTCATCATCATCGTATCACCATTATAGTTAATCTAAAGCTCCAACAATTTCTAATGATAATTTATCAGAAACGTTTAATAATACTTGTTTCATGGCATCGTAATATCTTATTTACAAAATTGTACAAGAGTCGTAATGCTTTTAATTTAACGGTACAGGACTGCTGCACAGAACGCTTGTCCTTTAAATCTGAGGCATTTATACAGTTCATTTCAACAATTTTCAAGAATCTGAAATTACATTACGGTAGTCGAAAAGTGGGGATACAAACCCCCTTAAAAGTGGGTGGAGATAACTGTCCTCCAATTATCTGCGACCATGGTACACTAAGAATCGAGCATAAGTACAGATGTTGCTGAATAGGCATCATACTTTACGTGCTTGGTTCTGGTATACAGTGAATTAAGTGAAAAGTTCAACCTTGAGTTTTTGCAAATTCAATGATATTAACGCTTTTCTGTACTTGCTTCTTCGTAAATACCAACAAAACTAGTCGCACGACGTTAACCTTAACTTTAACGTTAGTATCCAACATGCAGCGCGATCGCTCCGCCCCTTTTGTAAACAAATCGAAACACGCATGCGCAAACCCGTAACAACCTACGTCGAGCGCGTAAAATCCTGAAATTAACGTACTCGGCAACGCAAGATGAATAAATGATGACGTAATCCGTTAACGTTAACGTCGTGCTTCGAAAAATGCTTATTTTGTCACGTATATCGCGTAGTACAAAACTTGTATTGTTGGTAATATCATGAAGATAATAAGTATTTTGTTTGGGGAGGGAGGCTTGCTCACGCCCCTCTTCCCCTAGATAAGTACTGGTAGAAAGGTTGTATTTTAAATTTTATTCCTATCCTATTGGGTTTTTTTACACTGTTGGATAGAAATAAAAAGATTGTTCAGACGCCAGCGAGACGTTAAGCTACGTCAGGAATTGTTGTAGGAGATCGCCTACGTTAGGAAGACATTATGTTACACATAATACACCACAAGCATTTTGGTACTGTTCATTGTGACGTGGTTACAATCAATGAGTTAATAAAGCAGCTTTACCCAAGGTCTTGATAGTATCCAGAAATTCGGAAGTGTGGTAAAGAACATCCTGTATTATTGTCATAAAGTGTGGAATCAACATTTAAGTATAATAGTAGACTTTTGAACTACGCGCATAATATGCCTACCAGCAAATTTGAAGTTAACTGACATTATGATTATCATTATAACAAAGTGTGGAATCAACATTTAATTATAATAGTAGAACTTCGAAGTTAACTGACAATATGATTTGAAGATATTGATAACATGATTGGATTTAATTCCTTATACAAATGCCGGTCTACCTTGAACAGAACACGTATGTGTTCGAAGTAACCCAGGTAAGAATAGTAATTATCAATCAGGTAAGTTCAAGTCATAGATAAATCATAAGCTTGGTTGCGGAACGCCCGGTCAGTTTCTTATTGGCCAGTTATTCGATCATCATAATTATTCTTGGTATCCGCATCGGGATTTTCTCGTATGGACGCACGGCAGCTAACGTGTGAGCATAGCCATATAAACCGATAATAAAATCACAGCCTATTAAAAATACTTACAAATACAATATCAAGCCCAATGAAAATTATATGCCAAGGCAAGACACTATAATTGTTTAGGTCCTACCAGACCGTTCACCGTGCAATAGAGCCAAAGACGTTATGTTTTGATATAGGCACAGACGAATTCATGCCAGAGAAATTTACTATAGAACTCATGATACCGGTTGTTTGATTTTTATCTTTTTTTATTTATTTATTTTTTTTTTTGTATTTATTGAGTGGCATACTGTACTTTTTAATACATACGTATGACAGAGAGAGAGTAGGCTGTACGTAACTCATCTCTGATTTGATAGTTCCATGAAATAACATGGTGCCTACTTATTCCATTGTTTGTGTGAAGGTTTTAGAAAAACAAGTCTGTTCAAAATCTTCCAAGCGTAGAGGCCCACAATGCCTTGTATGCATCCGTCCGGTATGGATAGTAGGCTTATAGTCTGTCTTTTGTAGGCCACAATAATTGTAAGTACTGTAATTCTATTGATAATCATTCCTCATAGTCATAAGGTCACGAATATTGTATACTGGTAGTTTATCCTCTGCAAGCCTGTAATAATTAGCGTTGCTTTATCGAATAAAATAAAATTACTTATATACTACATTGTGGCCTGTCTCCTTATTCTTTCCGGGACGGAAACCGTGTTAAGGGGATTATCAGATGACATTGTAGTATTAAACTATAGCCGTTACATATTTGCAGTCAGTGGCAGCGCTAGCGGGGGCAAAGGAAATTGTCCTCCAGATAATTTTCTTTCCCACTCCCCAGTCCCCCCCCCCACCAACCAAATAAAGAAGAAAACCACAATTCGTCGGGGAGAAAACAAAATTATATATATTTTCTACATATTAGTATATATA